TGAGAAGGGACAGTGTTGACATGTCGTGGGGTTAACCATTGTCATAGGGCAATATGTGTACTGTTTAATGAGAAACTATTTGTTCTGCAAACCTTCATCTAAGGTACAAAAAAAAAAAAAAATATTACCTATGTGAGATCAAATTGACAACAGCAACTCAAATGGTTTGATGGGAAGCCTCGGGGGCAGTGAGTTGAAGACAATGGTGATGGAATAATTTGGAAAAGGATAGTGAGAATAAAAGCGCAACTGGAAGAATGTAATTGATGTCACTGAATTGTACATGTAGAAACTTTTGAAATGGTGTAACTTTGGCTACGTATATTTTCACCAAAAAAGAAAAGGTCCTCCAGGATCGAGAGGGGAGAGTGTTAACATGTCATGGGGTTGTTAACCAATGTCATAAAACAATAAGTGTACTGACTGTTTAATGAGAAAGTATTTGTTCTGTAAACCTTCATCTACAGTACAATAAAAAAAAAATTTTTTAAATATCAAAATGAAAACAAAAATCTAGGCACACGTAACAAATCTCAGGACAGAAATTTTTTTAAACTACAATGGTTTTATTGATGGTAAGAGAGAAAACTTACATAAACGGTCAGACAGTCTATGTGCCTGAATGAGAAAAATCAATATTGAAAAGATATCATTTCTCCCCTCAACTTAATTTCCAAAATCTAATGCAATTCAGTCAAAATTCTAAAGGGATTTTTAGGATGGGGGAAGTTGACAAAGTTATTCTAAAGTTCATTTGGAAGAACAAGTTGGTAAAATTGAGTAATAACGTCAAAAAATTAAAAGGATAAGACCTTCACAGTCAAACACTGGAAACTATTATAAGGCAATACTGATTAATAATGTGGTGCTAGTACAAGTAAGAAATAGATCAATGTAGCAGACTATAAAGCCCAGAAATAGACCCAAGTACATGAAATATTTAGTGTATGATTAAGGTAGAATTTTAAGTTAGTAGGGGAAAATGGGTCAATAACCAGATAGTGCTGAGATAATTAACTATTGAGGGAAAAGTAAAAGTTAGATAGCTCTATCTTAAATCATATACCACAATAAATTATAGGTGGATTAATGAGCTAATTTTTAAAGGAAACTTATTTCAAGTAGAAAAGAAGCTATAAAGAAAAAGATTGCTAGATATGACTATCTAAAATAAAATAAATAGAACTACTCCTAAAAGGAGAGGGTGATAACTTAGTTTACTGATTTATGACTATCATTGACAACATTGCCCCATTCATCTGTATTTCTATCAGAATTCTGTTGTTCAAGTCTTTAAAATGATTGTCCATGTGAAAATGTGAGCTGGGTATGTGTATGCATAGTCTTGTGCTAGGAATTACTCCCTCTTGTATTTGAATCATATATAGTCAATAATGTCTGAAGACTGAATCTACGTTATAGAAAATGTAACACCTTGGTTCAAGGATCTGTGCCACCATGTTTGGCCTTTCCTTTACTCTGATCATTCATTCAACAAATATTTATTGAGTTCTGCAGGATGCTGGGGATATAGCAGTGGTTAAGACGCAGTTCCTGCCTTCAGGCTAATAATACGGAGTGGGAGACCAACAAGTAAACAGGCAGTGTGAGAATTAACTACACTGGAGAACTGTAGAGGGAGCTAGGGGTGTACCTGGAAAGAGCATGGAACTTAATCTTAGAGGCATCAGGGGAGTCCTCTGGAGAAAGAGGCACCTAAGCTACAATCTGAAGTGTGCGTAGAAGTAGGCAAGCGAGAGGGGAGGGATAAGCAATATTCTAGGCTAACGGAACAATATAGCAAAGTCTAAGAGACAAGATGGCCTGGATTGTTGGAGATATTGCAAGAATATCAGTATAGCAAAATTTATCTACAGTTGAAGTACGTAATATCTTAAATTAAATGACATCATTTTTTCCAAGATGTAGGAGAAAGAAAATGTTTGGAATACTGTCACTGATCAGGAATAAAGGAAACCTACTTCCAGTAATGACAGAAAGTCAGCCTACTAAATAGCATTGCCTTTGCACCTTTACTGACAGACATTTGGCAAGAGATAGACGCAGAAAAAAAATGCTTGTGGTACTTTGCAAAATCTAGCCTTAGCCTCTAAAAAGTTTGATGGAATACTGAACTCTTATGTAGGTGCTAACACTCATGCTGTGGCCTAGTTAGTGACACCTGAGGGCTCCCACTGACAACCCTCCCCCATCCCCA